CATCGCCTGGAATTCCGCGACATAATCCAGATAAGAAGAAGGCTCTTCCCGCTCTTCTTCTTCTTTATATAAAGGTGGTTGTGGGATTATCGAAGCGGTGCGAAACAGCATTGACTCGGTGTCCTTGCGAGAAAATCTTCGCGCTACGAGCTGTGCACTATTTAAAAGTAGCACGTAGAATGTTCCCACTCTTGAGAGTAAAACTCTCGAGACGCGGCATCGTGAAGAAAAGAAATAACTTAAAAATTATTTATTCACTTTGTACACAACGCCGCGTCTTGAGATTTTTACTCTTGAAAGTAAGACACGTCCAAAACAGACATAAGATGGAGAGATCGATTATCTTCATTGAATGTTCGTGACATAATTGAAGTTAATACCTCTGGATCGATATTACGCGTGGCACAGCCACGCTCGGATATAGCACCAGACGATCTCTATATAAGGTCCATCAGGGCGCCCGGTATTTGTCATTTCCGACAGGAAAGGCCGCGAGCCGTCGCTCCTGGGCTCCTTTCGCTTTCGGGATATCGCGCGATCGTGATTAATATGGATTGCCTGTCGACCTTTAACCGCATGACAAGTGCCATTCTCGAATTTGCTTTGAAAATCGCTCCTCGCGCGGCTACTTGATCATAACCGAAGGCCTCCTTCTGTACGTCACAGAATTCACCGAGCCGTCAGGGTTATTTTCGGACGGTTTAGCGAAAGGCGTTTCTTTAATTAATTGTAATGCGAAAAGTTCACTGTTTGCCATTGCCAAGATTCACTGGCGTACAAATTATTTGACAGTAAATAGTACCCATTCTTCGTGACGATTTTTCGGGAATCTGTGAACGCAATATTCAAATTTCATCTCTATAATCCGCCGTAGAAGTATATCACGTCAAAATACAGGTCTCCAAAACTATTACATATCTATATGTAATTAGAAACAGTATATATTCGTTATGATAGACATACGAAGCCGTCAGTATCAAATATACTGTAAAGTATAATATTTAGCATTAAAAAAGTGAGCCTATTGTCAACCCAACTGGCAAATTTTATTGAATTCAACTAATGAGAATATTCTTAAAAATCGCCAGCAGTAATTAACAACATCGGTGATTTTTATTGACCGTATCTGGGCACTTTTAATATTACAGAAAATTTTATTTTGCAATAAATTTTCTGTATTATTAAAATTGCCAGATACGGTCCATAAAAATCACTGATGTTGTTTATTGAATTCGTTGCAACGTTTTCGACCTTACTTCAGGTCCTTTTCAAGTAACAAATCAACAAAGAATAAGAGATTAAAATTACTAATTAGTCATCTAGTAAAAAGAAAAGAAATTAACGACGAAATAAGAAGACGAGAAAAATTCGTAGACAAGCGAGTCATCGTTATCCGTGAGTTTATTATTCAGTGAATTTGGTATTAAATATTATTCTCCAAGCGGAAAGAAAGTCTTCAGGAAACTAAGTTTTCATCTCCTCAAGTAACGTAAATTAACGTCGAAAGCAACACTACGTAAACCACGTCGTTGTGCGTAACAAAAGAAATTGTTGTTAAAAAAGACAATGGGGAAACGGAGAATTCAAGCGATTCGAATGGGCTTAAATGTCCCTCGAGTCTATCGCTGCGTGTCGCGTACAGCGAGCTGCGACCGCGTGCAGGCGCTTGCGCGTCTCCCCCGCCGTGGGTATAAAAAAAAAAGAGCTCGCGGTCTGCAAAAATTGACCGCGAACGATAGAAAAGGGAGGGAAAAGTAGAGGAGAGCCCCCAGAAGTGCCGGTATCGAGAGCACTAGGATTCCTTATCGCTCCTCGTCGCGCGCCTTATTATGCTCCCCGTCTCGCCACTCGTCACGGCTCGTAAAGTCGATACATGCAAAAGCAACCGCTCCCTCCCCTGCCACGCGTGTTTCTGCTGCAACCCAATCTACCCCCCTGCCGCAGGTAAGAAATTCCAGTACCTCACCTCGAGAACCGCCGTAATCCTTAGGCCCGATTCAGGCTGAAACGCCTCGCGCCTCGTTCCACGGCTCGAACGTGTCCGACGCTGAATCCCGGGACTTGCCGTTTCGCTTTTCGATCATCACTTAACTGCTCTCAATCAGATTTAAATTGCACACTGCCGCGCATTCGATTTTCTTTTTAATCTCTCCTCCCTTGCTTTCTTTTTTATTATTATTGTCCCTCGTGGTCTCTCGTTTCCCTCGAAATCCGGCGGCCGTACGCACGAAGTTAACGTTAATAATCCAATCCTAACGTTGATGCAATCTAAAGATCGCACCGTTGCCTCATCGCAAGCCTGAATCGGACTTTAGGCGCATGCACTCGATGCACCGGCGACTTTCTCCGAGTTGGCACATAAGGGAGCGCGTATGCACGCACCGCGAACGCGAGCTGCCGCGGTTTTATCGTCCTCTGCCTACTCTAAATATTTCCCCGGCATAAATTTATAACGACGATGGTGGCGCGCCGCCGCTAATAACGCGCGCGGTCCGGCCGATATCCCGGCATTTATACGAGCCGTCGCGCTCCGCGCCCGATCGGATACCCGTCGCGGGGCCCAATGGGGCACATTATAGGCGTGCTCGACGGGGCCCGTGGCGATGAATGGAGCTCGTTTCGGTCGACTCGAGCGGCCGCGGTGGATCGTCGTCGGCGGATCAGTGAAAGTCGACTCGGGGGCCTCCGAGCGGGCCGATCCACGGACGCCGGATCGCGATTGATCCGGGCGCGGTATCGTTCCGGGAACCATTACGGACCGCGGGATAGAACGGCGGTAATAAAAGTATATAAGAATCCAACGGCATTGGAAAGTCATCTATCGAAGAGCAAATTTTAATTAGCGCATTAATAACGGCGCATTATTATTGACGCACGGCTCGCTCTCTCTCCCTCTCCTCTCTCGCGTTCCCGGCAATGAATCAACCGATAATATTCGCCGCGTGCTCTATCGCGGCACTTATCCCCGGGCTCGCGATCGCGTACGGACGCGCTCGCGAATCTCAGGGCCCGTAATTTCCGCGCGCGCGCGCGCGCGCTCGTGGTCCGGGCACAAGAGCGTCGCGATTGCCGGCCGGCATTAATCGGGTAATTAAACCATTACTCATTGTGTCCCGTATTTTTTTTAAACGCTCCAATTTGCCGTGCCCTTAATGACTCGTTAAAATTGCTTTAATAATGCCCGAGCTAATAAGCTGACCGTGTACACCGTCGACAGCCGATCGGTCACGCTACGAATGACTACTCTATCCGCCGCTGCATGTCGAGTGGCATGCTCGTGTGGGAGATACAGGTTGTACGCGCGAGTACTCTGTTCTTTTTCTTATTTTTCTCTCTCTCTCTCTCTCTGTCTCTCTTTCGACGCCGCACGTCAATAAGAGCCAGTGATTTTAGCATACAGGTTTTACCCGTTGTCGCTTATTGACGAAAAAGTAACATGTGCGCGCTGTCACACGCATAATTTCAACTTCGCTTAAGTAGACATCTATATTCCCCATTACGTGCCACGCGGAAAAATACATTTTTACGGCATTTATGTAAGAGAGAAAAAGAGAGAGAGAAAGAGAGAGAGAATACACGCGTACCATTCGAGCGTTGATTCTTAAAAATGTAAATGAGTAAAATTTATACCATTGAAATAATTAAAGAAGGAAACGCTTACTTTTAGTAGAGATTGTCTGGTATTAAGTTGCTATTAGAGAGATTACTGATATTAAATCCACCTTCAGTTATCAGGTTGACAGGAGAAAATGGGTTTCTAAAAGACTATAGAATTAATGAGACGAAAGTTATTTGTCGATTTATAACTCGTGCGCGAATTTTCATTATTAGACGGTAATATTTATGACGTTCTAACAAGGATGTGGAGAAACGACCGGGGAGATAAAAATATTCTTTAACGACGCGCACTCTTTACTCCTCGTTCTTCCCACTCGCATTAAGCTCAATCATAATTCACGCCACGCAGGACGAAGAGCTTCCGCTCGACGTCACCCGGCGTCCTTCTTCCTCCTTGTCGCGATGCACACGTGCAGCTTTGATGCATCTTTAGCGCGTGCCGCGTGTGCTTGTGAATGACGCGAGCGTTTTCGACAGGAAACTTCATATCCGAACTTTTAACAACCTAACTTAGCATGACCGAAGTTTCTCCCGTGCATTTAACACTCGCATTCGCATCCGATCGCCCGTATAACATAAACAACATCGCTAGTAATATTCAGAGTTACAGATTTACAGCTTGTGTCGCCTCGAATAGCGACCCGCCGCACCCACAGAAAAAATTTCCGGATCCAATGCTATTACACTTGATTGTATCGTAAAATAGGATCGATATAGCGCCGATCATATTTATTATAGAGAAAGGAATATTTTAATCTTAAATGAAAAATTCTAAAATCTAGAATAAAATGATAGTACGTATCGTCTTTTGTCGAATATCGCGGTGCCAATTTCGTGCGTTGTAAGATGGAGGAAATATTTATTCCAAACGCAAGAATAAATAAACTTACATTTATACAGGTTACTCTCGTCTCAAAAGTCAATCTTTCTTAATTCGCCAGAGGAGAATAAGAATTAGTGACTTTCTTTTTGTACTAAATGAGGTTGTGAGAAATATAAATGCGTCAAGGATATTTTTGGTCTCGGTAACAGAAATCCTTTTCGAGGGTGCGCAGAATGGGACGCGCGATTCTGAAGAAACCGCGCCGCTAATGTAATGTAGCCGTACTTTCGCGGTACTCCGTATAGGCGGATGTTTACGGACCGGCGAGAAAATAAACGCGAAACGTGTGCGGGAGAGCCGTGACAACCGTGTTCTAGAATCGAGGTCAATGGGCATATCTCGATGGCGAGGGGAAATTTTTCGACGGCGATAAGTCGCGCGCGCGATAACGATCGCCTCGTTACGGCGTGCGCTGGCAACGAGCTGCTAAACCGCACGGACAATCGTGCTTCCGCGATAGTTGTAAGTTGACAGGCAAATCATTGTGACACACACTCACTTTGCATAGAGCGACGCCCGTGTCCAGTCTGTCCATGAAATTGTCGAGATTGATCCTTAGCTCCGGATACAGGGCGTTCAACCATTCCGCCAGGTCCTCCTTCATCGCCACCAGGTACTCCTCCGAGGATTTGAACGGCCTGTACGACCGCCCTTCCAGTAGCACCGACATGATTTTTAACGACTCGGAAACTGGAATTAGACGTTAAATAATATATTAAATTTTTAGACGTCAAGTTATTACATAAACGTTTGCCTCTTTAGAGAATTTATTCATTCCTTTATTTATTCGAGAATTATTCATTCCTTTATATTTTTTTCTCTCGTCCTCCTTTCTTTTTTATTTGAAAAAACTCTTCTATCGCCAACTCTAAATAGATATTTGAGCGCTCTTTTAAATTGCCGTTAATTTATAGCATTTGCTTCAAAAATTGAATATCGCGTAACTCAATAAGGTGCATCGCGTTATATTTGTACATCGTTTTATATCATATTTTATACTCTCGATTTCGGAGCTCAGCGACACATACACTTTTTCACATTCGGTTATTTAGAGTGTTCGGCGTGAACTGAAACGACTTTGTTAGATACTTTCTTGACAAAGGACTTCCGCACCTTTTAAGACCCACGTGGATCCTAAAGGACCAAATGGGATCTTTTACTGGTTGCTCACAGCTGGGATATGGGGAAATCTTTCAGCATAATTTTCAGATTTCTAAAATTCTCTCTTAAAAGCCTTTAAAAATTTTATCAACTCTCTTTACCCCTCTAACTCTGTAACTTTTCAATTAATTATAACGATTATTTTCCTTGTTTGTATTTATCTCGTTTTATTATTAACTTCTTTTCTCTAATCAATTTCTTGTCAATCATTTTTCTATAAACTTTAATTTTCCTCTCTGTCTCTCTCTCTCTCTTTACTCGACACTTGGCGATGTACATATCTTAAATGCAAAGATGTAATACAGTAGAATTTGAAAAAATCTATATAAATCTCGCTTGCATTTAATAGTCAATTAAATTATATATCACTGCATTTATATATTGCATCAAAGTTGCGATCAATATGCGGTCGATTAAGCTTTTACGATTTTTCAAGTCTTGAAATAATAATAATTTTCCTTATTTGTATTTATCTCGTTTTATTATTAACTTCTCGTCTCTAATTAATTTCTTGTCAATTATTTTTCTATAAACTTTACTTTTCCTCTCTGTCTCTCTGCCTTTACTCGACACTTGGCCATGTACACATCTTAAATGCAAAGATATAATACAGTAGAATTTTAAAAAATCTATATAAATCTCGCTTACATTTAATATTCAATTCAATTGTATATCGCTGCATATACTGCATCAAAGTTGCGTTCAATATGCGGTCGGTTAAATTGTCATGATTTTTCAAGTTTTAAAATATCCCGGGATCATGATCAACGATTATTAATCGCCCCGACGAAAGCCGCGTTCGCCACGCACGGGAATTGCAATGCGCCGCTAACGGGGCCCCGATTCGTTTTCTCACGCGATATTTCCACGTCTGGATACCGTTGCGTATGCAAATCCGCGGGCATTATTTCGCAGATGCGAGAGGCAGATTATAAACAGCCGATGAATAAAAATCGCGGGGCTCCGCCAGACAATGGCCACTCCGGGTGTCGCTGTTGACAATGGCGCGGTCATCCCCGCGATACTTTCCCCCCCTCCCCCCATGCTCGTCATACAACCACCCCATATGGACATGTATATGCTCATTGCATTCTGCCATGATACTCCCCCATGAAAATCACGATTGTACGCGGTGCAGATTAATGGGAAAACTTAGATAAATTCCATCTGCGAACTTTGTTATTAAAGTACGTGCTTAACTTGAATCGTGTGTATTACGTAAAGTTTCTTCTTTTCAAAAGCTATTTTCTCCTCATCTCGAAACAGAAGGTTCAGTTGTCTAGTAGACAACTGAACTAGACTAGACTCTCCACCTGGCTAATCAGTCCGAGATTACATATAAATAAATATACATGGATTTTCTCAACGAACAAAATGCACTCTCTGAAAGTCAATCAATAGATTGTCACTGAAAACAGAGACTTTTAGAGAGCAGCGATACATTCTTCCTTTAGGTAATAACGAGTGCCAAAGAATTGGATCACATTCGTTCGATATCTTTCGCATTCTGCCGTTCAATTACATATTTATGTCATTTCTGAACGAACAAGCACGCTTCACGTATGTCCACGTACGTTCCATCGAGTCATTTTGTTCCTACGTTTCCACGGAGAGTGTATATAAATCTCCATCAACAGCATTGTGCGCGACTCGTAGAGTAATGTACAGGTAATATCGGGAGCCCGAGAGCTCGCCGGAGTGTCGCAAGTGAACTCATTGTAAGACACGGTCAGCTCCGATGCGGCGACTGAATAGCGCGTCGCGTCGCGGGACAACGTCTCGGCGCGCTCGAGTTTCACTGAATGGAAATCTCGGTGACGAACGGGACTCTGGTATTTGATAAATAAGCCTACGCCGCGCGCGTCGCGGCGGATTAATGAGTAGACATTGCACCCCGGCCGAACGGGCACGGTTGAATTAATGGCGTTTGACTACGTTGTCGGATTCGCAAGGAAGTCCGCGACAACCGCCGCGGGATCGGCGACCGCCAATAAATTTCAGAATGCTCGCGTGTCGATCTGCGCGAATGAGCGGAGGAAATCGGCTTGCGCATTCCGGCAAAAATCCGTCGTCGAAAATTTAGTCATTTCCGCGTTCAACTACACGGAGAGAATTTTCACGTAAAATTCACCCTGAGAATCATGTAATCGTGGACAACTTGACATTTCGGAGAATTTTATAGGAGTTTTTTTTAATTTTATATTATACATTTTATTAGTAATTATCGAGGGGTAAACCGTTCAACCAAAATCACGTACACGTCGTACACCAATGCCTACTAATGCCCAGTGGAAATTACTTTATCTTATTATCTTATTTTTCTCATTTATCTTGTTTTATCTTTTTTTTAATAATGCCCAGCAAGGCCTAATGCCCAAATTAATGCCCAAAAAATGCCTACTAATGCCCAGTAGGAATTATTTTATTTTATTAGCTTATTTTTCTCGTTTGTCTAGTTTTAGGGTAAATTTTAACAGAAAATTCTCTCCATGTATCTCTATCATTGCATTCTCTGCCGTAATATCAGTTTACACGTTTCTCACACTTTTCACACGCCATGCGTTTTTGGGACAACGGAATCCTTACTTTTTCCTCCCAACAATTTGGAGGCTATGGACAAGTGCGCGAAATTAATTATCCCCTTTCGTTACCGAAACATCCTAATTTTCCGACCACCGGCATGCGTCTAAGAGGAGGAGATAGTCGTGGGAAATGATCCGTCGCAGGCGCGCCGCCGACATAATATCCGACCGCGACAAAACACTCCATTCACGGGACCCCACAAAACCATGTTTCCACGCGGTCTGGACTCCCCATAACTCGGGGATTAACCAAAACTGACCTGAGACTCGTCTTTCAGGACAGAAACTAAAAATCTCGTAGTAATAAAACGCACGACAAAAATTTACTTAGCAGAGTTAACATCGGAGCACGGAGCTCGGAGTTTAAAGAATAAATAAAGAATAAAATATGCCGTCGCCCAATCGAACCTCGGGACGAGGAAATGTCGACTCCGATTTTTCCGAAGGAGCCCACAAATGAAGATGGACGCGGCGGCTTCGGAGCCGGCACTTCCCATCCCCGCGCGTTCGAGCTTACAATTTATTAACGTCTACAGCTTTGTGCGAAAGACGACGGAATGGGGGAAAAGGAGGGAAGGAAATGAAGAGAGATCGGAGGACACGGGAAAGGAATTAGCGCGTAAAGGGGACGCGGGAGCAGACGGCGAAGGCGAGAGATGAGGGATACGTTCGCCGGGCCGGCGATACCGTCAGCGCAGGATTACGGTTTGCGAAAGGTAACTGCGAAATGTCATCGTATCGCGTTTCCCGCACGCGCGCACTTCTCGCTCGCGCGCGTCTCGCCTCGAGCGACACACGCCCGCGTCGTCTGCACTGCGACATCGCGAGTACCGCGTTATTAGGGCATTATTACATTTGTCGTACGACACATTTTTTAAGCGCGTTAATTGGCTGCAAGATAGAAAATTTCTAAATACTCGACAACATCTCTGTCCTGCAGCCAATCAACACTCTTGAAAAGTTTGTCGTACGACAAATGTAATGCCAGCCTTAGGGCTTGAGCAGAAAGATTGTCGTAACCGTTTACAATTCTGTCGTAAGACTTAATTCAGTGTCGGAAGTCAGCGCAAAGAAATGTCGTAGACGTGTGTCGCATTTCTCGCATTGCGTCGCGAGGCATACGTCTACGACAATTCTTTGTGCGTTAACTTCCGACACTGACTTACGACGGAATCATAAACAGTTACGATTCTGTCGTAGCACTCAAGTCGGTGTCGGAAGACAACACATAAAGAGTTGTCGTGGACGTATGTCGCATCCCTTGTATTGCGTCGCCAGGCATACGACAATTCTTTGTGCGTTGACTTCCGACACTGACTTACGTCTTACGACGGAATAATAAGCAGTTACGATTCTGTCGTAAAACTTAACTCGGTGTCGGAAGTCAACGTGCAAAGAATTGTCGTAGACGTGCGTCGCCTTGCGATGCGACGAATGCGACATACGTCTTCGACAATTCTTTGTGCGTTGACCTCCGACATAGACTTGCGTCTTACTACGGAATCGTAAATACTTATGACGATCTTTCTGCTCAAGCCCTAAAGGCCGAATCAGACTAGCAATTGCCGTCTCAAATTCGGATTGGCGATTGACGATTGTCCTCTAGCCAGTGAGAGTCGATTAAATCGCTGCCTTTACTCTCATTGGCTAGAAGACAATCGCCAATCGTCAAACCCAATCCAATCTGCATGTCGTCAATTGCTAGTCTGATTCGGCCTTTTTGCATGCAGCGATGGGAAATGCCAAAGTTTAAAAGCGGGTCTGGACGGACCGATCCGCGGTCCGCGGAAACGGCCCGTCTGGAACGAGCAGCTCGAGCAACGCCTTATCGATCCTCCTTCGGTGAACGCGCGCGATAATAATTTATGATACGCTTATCTCGTATTTCCATGGAATTCCGTATCCAGATACGCAGCGGACTCGATAAAACGAGTGGCGTGTTTACTC